TAGATTTTACAGCTTCCAGGGATAAGGTGATTGTTAGCCACGCTCTGGCTATAATTTGGTTGATGGCCATTAGTATACAGGTCATAAGTCTCAACTGGCTTTCCAAACTTTAGAAAGGTCATCTGCTTTCAGGTTGAGCAACACTACGCTTGGCGTCAGCTCAATGTCAGCCTCTAGGAGAATAAGTAACATGTCCTGGGCCCACAAAGCCTGAACAATTGGACAGGTCCACCATATGTGAGTGTTAGTGCCTGGTTCCTAGCAGCCCTGGAAGCAGGTCCCCACATGGCCATGAGTAAAATGTGCAACTTGGGTCAGAACTAAGTACCAGCGATACAGTAATTTGTATTTTGCACAAGTATGAGTGCGTTCTGGGAGCAAGAGTTAGTAGCTTCTCATATTTGGTGGTATTGTTGTGCTTCAAGAGAAATGCCGAAGTCTAATCCCCATTTCCACATATAAGCGCGATGAGGGGATGTGGAACCAGTAAAGAGTTGTGAATATAGCAGAGATCAGGCCTGGGGAGTGTGGGTTGATACAACAATGCTTCTCAAAAGGCGTCATGGTTGTTACTGAAATTGGAAAAGAGATTAGGGACTGTATAAAATGTTTGACTTGCGGGTAGCAAAATTACTCTACTTTTATTAGTTTTACTTTTTTTTTTTAGTTATTTCCTAGTTTCAATGTGTAGACAAATTATGTCATACATCCCAGGAGTCTTCAGGAGGAAAGGAGGGGTTTTCTGAGCTAAACACACCCTCCTGCCTGCATACCTAAGCTAAAGGCAGATGGATTCCAAGAAGTAAATGCTGTATGAATCATATGGCAAAGGGCACTCTAGGTTTATGGCAGGCCCAGATAACTTTTAACACTTGATGTAGTTGTCAGAAAACTGGGGCTGAGATCCTAACACAGGAAAGACCCAAAATAAATATAGAAGTTTTGGTAAGTATGTCATCTTGATCACTGCAATAAGGCCCAAGCAAGAAATAGGGTAGTCTTTCCAGGCCTGCAACAGGGTTTTGAATTTGCTGAGAAACAGCAGATAAGTGCCAGTATAAAATGAGTGATAGGAGGGCATAATGTAATCTCCTAAGTAGGAAATTCATTTGGCCTCCCAATGATAAGGGAAAGCTGTTCATAATAAAGTCACTTGAGCTGGCGGTAACAAAATTTTTAGTATCTCTGATTTGGAATGGTTACTGTAGAAGTCAGAGACACTCGCGAAGCGGTTCAGCATTTCATTTAGGTTGGGAATTTTAACAATGAGGTTGATGATAAATAATCTGCGAACAAACTTAACTTGTGGTGACATCCTGCTAAAGTGAGAACAGTGATATCTGGATGAGTCCAAATGAGTTTTGTACTAATGGCTCGATGAAAATCAAAGAGGAGAGGGGGCATCCCTGCCTGGTACCCCTGGAGATTGAGAAGGTAGTAGACCTGTAACCAGCGTATTTCACCATAGTTGCAGGAGAAGAGCAGAGTGCAGCTATCCAGTTACAACACCGAGGACCAAAACCCCACTTTTGTAAAACCTGAAATAGATAAGGCCCAAAAGAAGGAATCAAACGCATTCCTATCTTATAACAGCAACAGTAGAGGCTATTTGCATCGTTGTGTGGCCCCTATCAAAATGATGTCATATATAAGTTTAAGACCCTTCTGAGATCATTCAGAATTCATTTACAGGTCACCTGCAGTTGACCTTCTTCTGACCTGCTTTAACCACTTGACCTCCAGAGGATTTACCCCCCTTTATGACCAGGCCTCTTTTTGCTACTCGGCGCTGCACTAATTCAAGTGATAATTGCGCGGTCATGCAATGCTGCACCCAAACGAAATTTACGTCCTTTTTTTCACACAAATAGAGCTTTCTTTCGGTGGTATTTGATCACCTGTGCGCTTTTTATTTTTCACTTTTGAAGAAAAATAATATTTTTTTACTTTCAGCTATAAAAAATATATAGTAAACTCAAAGTTGGTTATAAATTTAGGCCAAAATGTATTCTGCTACATGTTTTTGGTAAAATAAATCCCAATAAGTGTATATTGATTGGTTTGTGTGAAAGTTATAGCGTCTACAAACTATGGTATAGATACTGCAATTTACGCCATTTTTTGCTATACAGCGCTGTACTAGTTTAACTGACAATTGCGCGGTCATGCAATACTGTACATAAATTAAATAAATGTCCTTTTTTTTTTTAACAAAAAGAACTTTCTTTCGGTGGTATTTAATCACCTGTTCGCCTTTTTTTTTTTTTTTTTGCTATACAGCGCTGCGCTGGTTTAACGGACAATTGCGCGGTCATGCAATACGGTGCATAAATAAAATTTACATCCTTTTTTTCCCACAAATTGAGCTTTCTTTCACTGGTATTTGATCGCCTGTGCGGTTTTTATTTTTTGTGCTATAAAAAAAAAGGCTGACAATTTTGAGGAAAAAAAACAATATTTTGGACTTTTTGCTATAAGACATGTCCAGTAAAAAAAAAATGTAAAATCAAATTTAGTCATAAATTTCTGCCAAAATGCATTCTGCGACATGTCTTTGCTAAAAAAAAAAACCCAATACGTGTAAATTAATTGGTTTACGTGAAAGTTATAGCATTTACAAATGGCGGGAAAGATACTGGGATTTTTAGTTTTTTTTATACTAATAATGGCGGCGATCAACGACTTATGGCGGCAATCAGTGACTTATGGCAGCGATCAGCGACTTATGGCGGGACTGCGGCGGACATTCTGACATTGGGGGGTACATTGGGGGGTACTAACTTGGGGTCACTGACATCCCCAGTGACACCAATACAGTGATCAGTGCAAAAAAAAAAAAAAACACTGACACTGTACTAATGGCACTGGGGAGGAAGGGGTTACGTTTATTTTTCAGGGAAAGGGTTAACTGTGTGAGGGGAGTGTTTTACTAGGGGGTGGGGGTGTGTACTGCACGGGACACCGCTGATTGCGAGAGAGAAACTCTTCTGTCCCGATCAGCTTGTCCTGGAGCTGTCAGGGAACTGACAGAAAGCACAGCTACGGCAGCTGTGCTCTCTGTCAGCGATTGCCGCCGATCGCCGGGACATAGCCGGTAACGACCGGCTGTGACCCGGCAACAGACATCCGCGGCCTCGTGCGCGCCCCCTACCTGTTTATAAAACAAACGTTTTAAAACGTGGTTTTGCCCAGCCGTGCCACCCTGCCGCCGTATTTATACAGTGGCTGGGCGGGATGTGGTTAAAGTGTTACTAAACCCACAACAATAAAGTCAGTCTGTATATTCAGTGAAGCATGCTTGATATACTTAATGTGAAACCTAAAACCCCTGAGGGTTCCTCTATATTGTGTAAAAAGGCTGTTTGATGCTGACTTCTCTGATACTCCCCTTCTTCCAGTGTCCCCCTCTTATCACCTGATAAGACATGGAGACGGTGGAGACACTTTGCACATGCTCAGTTTGGTGTGTATTGCTAGAGAGGTTTTGTTTTTTTTCTTGGGGAGTGCATGTAATCAGCACAGGGCCAATCAGTGCTGTCCAGACAGAGGTCAGGGGTTCTGCGTCCTCCTAGAGCAGAAAGAAAACTCCTACAAGCTTTAACCAGTGCTCTGCTGAACACTGATAGAAGTTACAAGACTGCTCTAGCTGCTGTTGAGAAAAGGTATTTAGAACTTTGTATTTACTAAAATAATTGCATTTCCATGCTCTGTGTACAGTGGGAGAACCAGATATAGTAAATGCAGGGTCCTGGGTTCAGTAACACTTTTTTGTTTTCCCATAGGCTTACTGTATATGGAAATGCAAATCCCATGATATGCAAACAAAAGCCAGTTGATATAACCCCTAAAGTCTTATATTGACACACTGGGGGTTATTTACTAAAACTAGAGGGTGCAAAATCTATTTGAGGGCTTACTCACATCAGAAGGCAGTGCACTGCAATGCATGCATTGTCAAAATTAATGGCCTGAAACACACCTAATTGCAAAACAATTTAGGGCAGGTTTCATTTTTCCCACTGCAATGCACATGTGCATTATAAAGGATTGTTGGGATGCCAGGCCAAATTAATTGGCACCAAAGCACAAAACATGTATTACCACATCTGGTATGGTGTGAATAAGCCTTGTGGAATATCCATTTGCTATAATAAATGCTTCGAGGTCATATTTGTTATTAATGTGATTTAGTTAATGTGAAATTGTACATTGCAGTGGTTCTTGAAGAAGATCCAAAACGTGGGAATCTTTAGCAACCTCCTTCTGCAGGCATGATAACAGTTAGTGGGTAGTATGGTGGCATATGCCACGCTGTAACAGGTCCTCAGTGGTCAAAAGCTGCAATTTCACCAAATAATGTATGTATAATAACCACACAGCAATATCCAGTCACAGAAATGCTATTTTTATTAATGGAATATTATTCTGACCATATCACTTTTCTCCCTTTAAACTAGTCCCTCTCCTAACACACAGAAATCAGCAGAGGAAAATCTTTATCAAATACTGTGCAGCAAACCTTTGTATTTGTATGAAAAGAAAATCACACAAGCACATCAATGTGCACAATTAATATTCATAATGTTAGAAAAAAAAATGAAAACACTCCATGTATTGCGATTAACGCATTTAAAGTACCTTTTCCTGTATAAACATCAACCTGAAAACCTATAATGCTGCAGCAAATGTTACCCTTTTGCTGTTATGGTGAATGAAAGGGAGGGAGAAGAGAAAAGGGATTTGGGGAGGAGTAAGGACATGGCTACACATAATATTTATGTCTGTAAGACCAGTGGCAGACACATGATATTAATTGTAGCTGCTACCATCCAGCACGTCTCTCAAACAGGTATTGATCAACTGTATTTTTTTTTTTTCATTCACACGATAATGTGAAAAAAATATATATATGTGTAGCTATTTCCTTACATAGTGAGCCTCTTGATGTGAAATAATAGGGTCAGAATATGGAATGTGAAAGGAGGATTATAGGAGGATTTAACTGTGTAGGGGTATTTGAGCAGTAGAGCCTCTCCTGGTACCAACTTCAGATCCTTTAGAGAGATACTGCTATCCTCCTTCCTCTCTGAGTTTGAGCTCATCACTACCGTACACTTCTCTGGTATGTTTTTGTGCTCAATTGTCAAACTTATCTCCATTTCTGGATCAAAGTTTAATACAGACACATATCTTTCATTTTGGTCCCAACTGCGCTCGTATGCTAGTGTTTTGTCATTTTGGTAGAGTAGTGTGAAATCTCCATGCAGAAGTGATCGCTCTTTTCCACGCAGCTCACTCAAACGTTTGTACACACTGAGGATTGAATTCTTATTGTTCTCTTGTCCCTAGAAATAAAGTGAATAGGTCAGATTTTCTTTTCAAGATAACCAAAAAGTGATTCTATAGTATCAATGTTAGTTGCAGAGGTATACAGTGCCTTAAAAAAGTATTCGTACCCCTTGAACTTTTTTGCATTTTGCCATCTTACAACCAAAAATGTAAATGTATTTTATTGGGATTTTATGTGATAGACCAGCACATAATTGTGAAGTGGAAGGAAAATGATAAATGGTGTTCAAACTTTTTTTTTACAAATAAATATCTGAAAAGTGTGGCGTGCATTTGTATTCAGCCCCCCTTTACTTGGATACCCCTAACTAAAATCTAGTGGAACCAATTACATTCAGAAGTCACCTAATTAGTAAACAGAGTCCACATGTGTGTAATCTGTACTCAGAATAAATACAGCTGTTCTGTGAAGCCCTCAGAGGTTTGTTAGAGAACATTAGTGAACAAGCAGCATCATAAAGGCCAAGGAACACACCAGACAGGTCAGGAATAAAGTTTAAAGCAGGGTTAGGTTATTAAAAAAATATCCATAGCTTTGAACATCTCACAGAGCACTGTTCAATCCATCATCCAAAAATGGAAAGAGGATGGCACAACTGCAAAGCTACCAGGACATGGCCGTCCACCTAAACTGACAGGCTGGGGAAGAAGAGCATTGATCAGAGAAGCAGCCAAGAAGCCCATGGTAACTCTAGAGGAGCTGCAGAGATCCACAGTTCAGGTGGGAGAATCTGTCCACAGGACAACTATTAGTCATTCACTCTACAAATCTGGCCTTTATGGAAGAGTGGCACAAAGAAAGCCATGGTTAAAAAAAAGCCATAAGTCCCGTTTGCAGTTTGGGAGAAGCCATGTGGGGGACAGAGCAAACATGTAGAAGAAGGTGCTCTGGTCAGATGAGACCAAAATGAAACATTTTGGCCTAAAACACTGTGTGGTGGAAAACTAACAATCCCCATCACCACCGTGAAACATGGTGGTGGCAGCATTATGTTGTGGGAATGCTTTTCTTCAGCAGGGACAGGGAAGCTGGTCAGAGTTGATAGGAACCTGGATGGAGCCAAATACAGGGCAATCTTAGAAGAAAATCAGTTACAGTCTGCAATAGTCTTGAGACTGGGATGGAGGTTCACCTTCCAGCAGGACAATGACCCTAAAACATACAGCCAGAGCTACAATGGAATGGTTTAGATCAAAGCATATTCATGGGTTAGAATGACCCAGTCAAAGTCCAGAACGAAATCCAAATGAGAATCTGTGGCAAGACTTGAAAATTGCTGTTCACAGACGCTCTCCATCCAATCTGACAGAGCTTGAGCTATTTTGCAAAGAAGAGCAGGCAAAAATTTCATTCTCTAGATGTGCAAAGCTGGTAGAGACATCCCCAAAAAGACTTAAAGACTTGCAGCTGTAATTGCAGCGAAAGGTGATTCTACAAAGTATTGGCTCAGGGGGGCTGAATACAAATGCACGCTACACTTTTCACATATTTATTTGTAAAACATTTTGAAAACCATTTATCATTTTCCTTCCACTTTACAATTATGTGCCACTTTGTGTTGGTCTATCACATAAAATCCCAATAAAATACATTTACGTTTTTGGTTGTAACATGCCAAAATATAGAAAATTTCAAGGGGTATGAATACTTATTCAAGGCGCTGTATGTAACCATTTCAGAACCATATCAGAATGTGGGATATTTCCATTTAGGCTAGTAGTATGGTTTACTGCAAACAGCATGATTCTTGTCACATAACCACATTTGCAGTCAGCCTCCCATAATCCTCTTTGAAATCCAAATTAGCTGAAAAATGTCAGAAATAACTCATACTGTGTTATGCTATAAGTACTTAACAGTATAAATCTACATATTTTCAAAAACTAATTACTAAGCTTTTCTAGGAGGCTAAACTGCTTTATAAATAAATCCAAATATTAAAAGGGAATTTTTACAGGTCTAGCAAGATAATACAGCTTTTAGTTTAGAAACACTTTTCTGTTTGTCTGAAACTTGGTTGCTAAGTAGGGCAAAGGTTGTTCCTAAGAACTTGCTGACAAGAGATTATCTGAGAACAATGAAATCCGCTGAGTCAGGAGGAAGAAAGATCCCTGCTGCCTGGAATGCTAAAGGCAGCAATAATAAAACCGGCTGCCTAGTGGACTTTAATATAGGGACGGGGGCACTGATTATAAAGCAATAAATACATGCAAGAAAAAAGTTATTGCAGGGAATAAAGGTCAATTGTTGCATTACTGCTACATTTCTAATCAGAAGTTATCAGTAACAAGACTTTTATCTCTGAAGTCCAGGACATTTGTACAGGTTTGAAATGTATTGTTCTTGTAATGGGGTTTAAAGTGATATTAAATTAAAAAAAAAACGCTGACAGGCAGGGATTTTATGGCAGAAGAGACCAGATTGTTTTTTTCTGCCATAAATGCTTCCTTGTGCCCATCAGCGAATCAACGATAATTTACACCGAGTCACACATTCACATCTCAGGGTACATTGCAGCACCCGCTCTGTGCAGTGGAGATGTCACTCCCACACTTGCGCATTGGAGTCACATCATTGTGGCCCGACCATTCAAGCAGCCGAACAAGGTGAACTTGGAAGGGAGACCTGGTGAAGGTGGAAGTGCCAGTGCACGAATAACGGAGCATTGGTGGGCTTCCTTTACAGGTAAATCTGTTATAATATGCTAGTATGCAGTGTCTTATGTGTCATATAACTTTGTTAAGAACTAATGTGTACTGATTTAACCCTAAACAAAAAGAAATCTTATGAACACTGCTATAGTAAAGCTAATCTTCTATGATCCGAACCCCCTCTAGTGCCTATTTATGTTTAAACATATAGAGCTGGTGGGGGAGACATGCTGTAGACACTTTCCAGCCCTGTCTTATCAGGGGGAAAATAGAGATTAAAACGGAGTTCCACTCACGCTGTCTAAACTGTAGCTGCTGACTTTTAAAAAACACACACTCGCCTGTGCCTTGGTCCAGCGGTGTCCCCTTCAGCCCGTTTTACCGGCCGTCTTCTCTCCCTGGGCGCCGAAATCTTCAGTGTCGGCACCCGGCTGTGACAGCTTGTTGCTTCACAGCTGGGTGCCCACTGTGCATGCGCGAGTAGCGCTGCACTTCCTGAATGGTCCTCCTGTAGTCTTTTGGGACCTGTCACGTGTCCCACAAGACTACGGGGAGGGAGGAAGGGAGGACAGCTTCCATTTCCGATTGCCTAGGCGATCGGAGCAGAAGTGGGAGCAGGTACCTGTCAAATTCGCCCCACCCCACCCCCCAAAAGTGCCAATCCTTAATGGGGAGCGGGGAACCAGTCTTTAAAGCGGAACTTCCCCTTTTGGGTGGAGCTCCACTTTAAGCACAGTATTCTAAATTGTTTGATCACCATTGCTGGTAAGCCTCAGCTTGTGGTGTTTACTAATCAGTTGTCTGGCAAACGTATGCATATGAACATATTTAGGCCATCCTTGGACATAAGATAATCATTCCCCAATGTGGCCAGTTACAGTTTGATCAAGAAACTAGCTCACATCTGATGAAGACCTGGAGAACTGGCATTAAAGAACCACCATTTTTTCAACTCTTTCTTGGATAATCACCATTCTCTTGATAGCAGACCAGAGCCAGAAGTTCGGTACACGAAAGTGCATATGTGAATGAAACAAACGTCACTTTGGTTCCACTGAACAACTGTGCAGTGGTTAGATCATCCAAAAGTGGGTAGCCTAAAGGTGCTTATATACAGTATATTGGGAAAGACAGTTTTTTGAGCAGGCAGGATCCAATTGATCTTTGAGAAAGCTGTTCATTAGATCACTTGCAGAGCATTCCATAGGGGAAGGGCAGAGAGAGGAATCGCAGAGCAGGTTTATCAGGGTGGTCAGCAACAATCAGGAAAGGTTAGCTAAGCTGGCTAATTATTCCCCCACCAACTCCCAGGTCATCTCTGGGCATTTTAACCTGTTTATCCTCAGTGAATTATATAGCAATTCTCACCTTAAATGTGATGTTCTCATTTACATTTGAGCTCCTGTCTGGTAATCCATTAGAAAATCCATGGTTTGTGCTATCATCCCACTGCATGTAAGGAGAACTGGCTGCAGCAGGCTGAGGGGAGAAAACATGTCAGAGATACTCTTTGAAATCTACACACATTACCAGTTTAGGATATTTTGCCACATCACTGTAAATTAATCTCTCATGACAGGGATTCATAACAACAATAATGGGCAAGACATAGCCCGCTTTCTGCTGCCCGACTTTAGTAAGCAATAGCAACAGACAAGAAAGCTAATAAAAGTCACAAGTGATTGTGCAAATGTAACTTACTTGTCCAGGCAAGTCTTTGAGTCCAATTTCATCCCCATACAAAGTAAGAGGTGTGCCTTGAAGAGTGAAAAGCAGCAGCTGGTAAACACGCAGCAGCTTCTCGTGCACTGCAGAGGCCATGTGTCCCAATCGTGGTCTGACCTGTGGGGAAAGATGTTACATAAGATTTGTCTTAAAATATCATGCAGAGGTATTTACAGTAATCAATATGCTGGATTCACAATATCCTGGCAAAAGTTCTAGACATAAAAACCCCAGTACCTTATCAACAGAGGTTCCATAATCCAAGGGTTTCTGATCATTAATAAAACACACTTTTGGAAGATTCCTTTGTCCTCTATCATACAAATCAACTCACTGCATATCAGATAAACTACTCAGTTTGTGTAGCATAGTGCCTTAAGCCTGGTACACACTAGCAGTTTTTTTTTTTGTTCATCCAAGCAGGCTGAAAAAAAAAAAAAAACTGCAGAGCTCAGGAGGAGCTGCTGTACTAACAATCTGATGTTAGATTCTGCACCCCCGCCAGAATATTGCGGCCATTGGCTGAGAGCAGTGACCGGATGCCAAATTGGCAGACCTTTTTTTGGTCATGCCCCTTTGTCAGAAGTTGGATGAATGGCAGGCTTCTGTCTGACCGGTCGCCATACACACAGGCCGAATGTCGAATGTTTCTTTATTGAACCTGCTGATGCTGCCCAACATTCAGCCAGTGTATACTAGGCTTAAGGAACCTATGAGTTCAACATCAGAGGTCTATGGTGATTCTCATCTCTAAATACATGTCATAATTGTTGCATCGCTTAATTTTTTTTTCATTGTATGAGAAAATGACTTGTAGGGGTAATATATGGGTAAATAAGATCATCTGTACATATACTTCTTATACTGCTTTTTTCTTTCCAACATGCACATACTGTATATTTCAGGTGATATTCCAGTGCATATAACAATATGAAATTGAATATTTCTATTACTATTTTTTTCTACATTTATTTTGTAAATTTGAAGAATAGTCATATGAAACAAGCTTTGGTTTAAAGGAGACTATTGTTAAGTAGATTTCTTAGGCTGCATTAAAGAAAGATCTCTTATCGCTTTGATGAGTGTAAGAAAACGATTCTGCATTGCTTTAACGCTCCTAAAGTACACCTAAAATTCTTTGCTTCCTAAAGTGCTAACTGAAGCCTAAAATCCATACTACATGCTGTAAAAATATCAAAAAGCTAGTAAGTGCAAATAAAAGGAGTAAACAGTACCAATAGCTATAGATAGAAATATAATTCAAATGCAGATATAGGGGCTAGGCATGCAATTCATATATGTTTAACCGAAAAAGAGGATAATTTACCAAGTCTGGAGCAAACAGAATCTGCAGCAGCTGTGCATGGAACCCAATTAGCTTCTAGCTTTCATTTTCAAAGTTTAACTGAACAAGCTGAAGCTAAAAGCATGTTACGATGCACAGCAGCTCAAGATTTTGTCTGCTCCAATTTTAGTAAATTACCAATGTATCATTCATTATCTTCTTTACTTTTGGATACACAAGTGCTCCAGTGCAAATAAATCATATAGTGCAGAGTCCACTGATTAAGTGATGACCACAAATGAGACAATCTCACTCCAATTCTTCCAAACAGGTACCACTACTCTCCCAGGGACACCCAAATGGTGATGAGCTCACCTTGTAATGGGCAAACGGTGCAAATCTTAAAATACTCTTACTCTGTGGGGTATATGGTAAACGCTGTTATCCTCATCATCATGGATGTAGAGGATGACTGGACAAAACGCATTTGGCAGAGACCAGAACCTGTGACCTCATCGCATAAACACACAAGGCTGTACACATGCACATTACCAGGAAATGATGTTCCTTTGTTTCCTTCTCTTCTGGATGATTATGATGGAATGTTATATGCGAAGGTAACAGAGATTACCATATACCCCTGTGGAGTCAGAGGAGTAATTTTAAGATCTGTGCGCAATGCCAAGCTGCAGTTTCTAAAGCAAGCAAAATCCTCTCTTGTATTAAAAGAAGTATAGACTCCAGAGAGAGAGATATCCTATTACCCCTGTACAAATCATTAGTAACACCTCATCTGGAATATGCAGTTCAGTTTTGGGCACCAATTCACAAAAAGAACATTGGGGAACTGGACAAAGTACAGAGAAGGGCAACTAAACTGACACGAGGCATGGAGGAGCTCAGCTATGAGGAAAGATTAGAGGAACTGAATTTATTCTCTCTTGAGAAGAGGAGATTAAGGGGGGATATGATCTCCATGTATAAATACATCAGTGGTTCATATAGTGAACTCTCGGTGTAGAGCTATTCACCCTGAGGTCATCACAGAGGACAAGGGGACACTCTTTACGTCTGGAGGAAAAGAAATTTATTCTCCAAACACGGAAAGGTTTCTTCACAGTGAGAGCTGTGAAAATGTGGAATAGACTCCCTCAAGAGTTGGTTCTGGCCAGCTCAGTGGATTGCTTCAAAAAAGTCCTGGATTCTTTCTTAGATACACAGAATATAACTGGATACTAACATTTATAGGTAAAGTTGATCCAGGGAATATCCGATTGCCTCTCGGGGGATCAGGAAGGAATTTTTTTCCCAGCAGGTGCAAATTGGATCATGCTTTGCTGGGGGGGGGGTTTTTTTGCCTTCTTCTGGATCAACTGTGGGTATAGGATTATAACTTTTTTTTTTTTCTTTTTTCTATGGTTTAACTGGATGGACTTTTGTCTTTTTTCATCCAGACTAACTATGTAACTATGTGTGGTTTGCCCATCTTTTAATTTAGGCGGGCAACCTCATACAACAGTTTTGCTGTATAAAACACAAATTTGCTCCTAATGTAATAAACACAATTTTTTATTTGCTTTAGTGTATGTAGCTGCATCCACAGTGTCTTCCTCAACATCCTACTATAGCTGCACTTACCGCCCACAGGATCCAGTCCTGTTCACTGGTAACCTGTTGGTACTGCTTGATGCGCTCTCCCAAGGAGCTGCCACTGGAGTTGTCGTTATGGATCAGGTAGCGTGCAGTTAACATGCCGCTGGCAGTGTCATTCAGCATGGTTAGCATTTTGTCGCTGTGAGGGTCATTAGCTGAGACAAGCAGCACCCTGTCAAGGTGAAAGATAAAACATTATGATAATTCAGCAAAAAAAAAAGTATGCTCAGTCAAGAATTAGGTATAATATTCACCTTGCTTTCCCATCTGAGCTGTGGTTGGCAGTAATGTTCCTCAGTTCTTCAATAATCTCACCTGGCTATAATATCAGAGATGTGAATACATGTCAGTAAAAAAACAAAAAAGTCATTTTGTCAATGAAATGCTAATTTCACTCAGATATTACTTACATTATCTATGTTCTCCATCCCATTGAAATAAATTCCTCCAACACCAAAATCAAGCCAAAAATTCATGGCTTCCTACAAAAAGAAAGCAGTTAAAAAAAACAGCTCTTTCTGCTCTATATTACTTTTTTGTAATGGAGTGAAAATATCAATATAAATCCACAAGCAATAAAGCTCACCTTAATTTTTTCCAGGAGTTCACCATTTTGTGCTGTCACGCTGTAATTAAACCAAGCACTGCTGCCACCATGGTTTGGAGTGAGATCCAAAATGATCTGAATACCTGAAAAAAGAAAGGACATAGCTGTTAATTGTCTCAACTGCTAGGCTCTTATTTATACATAATCTTAACACACAGCAGACAGACAGTTTGTGGGGAAATAAACAGAATAATCATAAAAAGAGCCTCATAATTCATCATGTGTTCATTTTAACTGGGGCATGATGTATAGAGACATTATTTAAGAACAATGACAAGTTTTAGGCAGCTGCCCATTAACAAGGTGATTTCAGCTTTAGTGTAGCTAAATTAAAGAATTAATCATGCCATACATATCTCAGGAACCATCTATGAGAAATCAATCTATCAAGCAACTACTAACAAATACTACTACTACTACTGGAAAATTTCAGTTCGATCAGTGCTGCAGCACTGATCTGTAAATTCTAATGGCAGGAAAGCCTCCCCACTGTCAGAATACAAAGACGGATCAGGGAGGATTCCTGCATCCACACCAAACCATTCACACCAAGCCTTTTACCCAAATAACATCCAGATAGTTAAATTCTTTAACATGTCTGATAGACTTGGTATCCCAAATGAGGGTGCCATGCTAAAATAGCTGCTTCAGCAATGTAAAGATGTAATATACAAAACCCCCTTAAACTGGTTCTAAAGGCTCAAGGTTTTTTACCTTCATGCATTCTATGCATGAAGGTTAAAAACCTTCTTTGTGCAGCATCCTCCCCCCCAAATACTCACCTAAGCCCCCTCTCGATCCAGCGATGTGCACTGGACTCTCAGACTTCCTCTTCTCACTGGCTGAGACAGAAGCGGGAGCCATTGGCTCCCACTGCTGTCAATCACAGCCAATGAGAAGAGAGAGGGGGCAGGGCCGAGCCGCGGATGCCCCATAGCAAGCTGCTTGCTGTGGGGGCTCCCAACAGGAGGGAGGGTCCAGGAGAGCCTGTGGGGCACCCGAGAAGAGGAGGATCCGGACTGCTCTGTAAAAAATCACTGCACACAGCAGGTAAGTTTGAAGTTTATTTTTTTTTTTTTCAAAAACAAGCCTTTAGAATCACTTTAACTCCTATAGAAGGACACTGAGGGGTTTTATTCGCTAAAGCTGAAGAGTGCAAAATCAGGCTCACTTCTACATAGAAACCAATCAGCTTCTAACCTCAGCTTTGGCAATAAAACCTGGAAGCTGATTGGTTTCTATGCAGAAATGAGCCTGATTGTGCACTCTCCCGCTTTAGTAATTAACCCCTGAATGTCTGTTGTGTATAATAATTCAGTTAAGAGCACAGATTTATAGAGAAAGCATACTCACTCTTTTTACGTGCTGCCTCTAACAACTTTTTAAAGTCTTCCATTGTGCCATAATTGGGATCAATTTCTGTGAGCTTAGTATCTGAAAGCTCTAAAGGAGCATGCAGAGGTCCAACCACCAAACCTTTCACCTTCAGTGTGCTGAGGGAATCCAGGCGTTCTTGAATACCTAAACAAAGTAAAAATGTAATATACATCAGTACAGTTGAGAGTTTCAGCATATTGTTTACACACATTAAAGAAAAGCAAACACTGGACTAGTGTGTGACCAAGAGATTCAGTCACTTCTGTTAAGTTACCAGTGTCTTTAATGAACTATTGAAATGATCAACTAAATCAACTTAAAATTGGTAGTCTTTCAATTATGACCTTCCTCTGAAAATGCTAAGTGCCTGGCAACTAGCATTTCAGCCTCAAAACTTTCATGTCAAATCACTACATGCTGCTAGGCAACTCAAACGTCAGAACTCCTGATCTCCATAAATGTAGTGACTCAAAAATAATGAAGCCATTGGATCAATATAACAGGCAGGCATGTGACATTTTGAAAAGGAAAGGTACAGTAGCAGGTACAGTATTAAAGCAGCACAAGAATACCAAACATTTTGTAATAAATGTACTATATAATATGTTCAGGAGGTGTTGTGCTTTTTTTCCCCTCTTTTAGACATTTAATTTTGGGTCACTGAATATTTGTCCTTAGCTGTTTACAAAAGTAGCACTTTAGCAACACACAACTATATACAGTGATTTAATATATCTATTTTCAAATTTCAATCTAAACCATATGACTATAAGCGCAATACGATGACGTTAATGCAACAGATTTTCAGACCAGCTCAGACTGGTACAGATCAACTTCCTGCACTACTGCCTGATGCAATCCTGTCATGCTGTGTCACTCTTACATCAGCCGACTAGTAGCACATGTATGAGCTAGTATCTTGGGCAGAGATCTGAATACAACTGGTGCAGTGATAATCTAGCACTAGTCAGATGTCCACATTAGAAAAGACCTATGATCCTGAAGACATATGTCCAGGGGCAGACTGACAACTCATGGGGCCCCCGTGCAATAGGGGATCATGGGGCCCCTGTATCCTTGCCCAAACTCAAAGAAGCCTATGAAAAAGGTACCAGGGGCATCTCATGGGGCCCCCTACTGATCCCAGGCCCTCGGGCAGTGCCCGAGTTTTCAAATGGTCAGTCCGCCCCTGCATATGTCTAAACTTCACATAACTTGACTCAATCATCCACAATGCTAAAAATCACTATATTTATTTTTTACTCACCAAAAATATCACCAACTCCATCAGAATTTGAATCTTGGAAGGTCTTGGGGTCTCCCAGTTGATAAAGAGGTCCCTTGTTCCACCACTCCATTACAGGTAAAGGACGGCAGCGGGGAGCTTGGACAATGATAACGACTGCCCCAGCCAGCATTCCTAACCATCCTAGCCAGAAACAGGATCAGAAGAGCCCAGCGGACTTTCACCCACCCTGGGGTGCCGGCCACTTTCAGAAGCTCTTCCTTTGACAGGCCAGTAAACTTCTTGGCCCGGCTGCTGTCATCATCGTCATCCTCCAGTTTAACTTTAACAACACCATTTTTTTCATTGACTCCGTCAACTGGAGGGTCCTCAGCCCCTGCGGCCATAGGTTGCTTTTCTGGGTCAATCTCATTCAGCTCAACGTCCTTCATGTCTAGGGCTGTATCTTGTGTCATGTCTGATGCGGCTGATCAAAGCAGAAAAAAAAGATAATGTAATAATAAAGTAACATAAGTATATACAGTACATCAATGATACAACACTATACTACTATATAAGATACTTATAAACAAACAGAGATTTTATTGAGAAAGTATGATTTTTCTCAATCCTGTAAGACCAGGCTATAGCATTATCTGACTGACACAAACACAACTAAGAATTTCCTCACCAGTTTCTACAAAGTTCTCAGGCAGCTGTAGAGAGTTGAGTCTGCTATGCATGAATGGCTGTCATTTAAATACAACCTCTGCCCCTCCCTTTACTACAAGCACAGCCTCTTTGTCCTCTTAAGGAGGAACTGAACAGTTTGCCCTCGGACAAAATACTCAAAGGACAGGAAAATAGAACATAAAAAATACAGTTAAAAACAGACCATATGCACAGGACGGATGTTTTAGACAATGTAAGATACAAGAAATACTATTAATTACATTTAAAATCCTTTTATGTCTGCTCATTCACGTTGGATGCATTGTCATACATTTTCCTGCATGTTTTAGGGCTCCGTTATTTCTAAAGGGGCCCATTTCCATCCCTGCATTGCTCTTCAACGTGTCTGCTTTCGCGGCCATGCACCCGCACGGCTGTCAAATTGGGAGTAGCGGCTGTGTCCATGCAGCCGCTGCATCCTAGATGACATGAATGGAACTACCTGCACAGGAATGTACGGAACACCTGTGCCTCCCCATGCGGGCAAACACAGCCCTCAGCCCTCACATGGGTGTACGCTACAGGCCTTAAGTGTAAGTACTGACCCCAATGTTGATTTAAACAAAAAAAATAAAAAATTAATTAAACTTTGCCTTTCATATTTCAACCAGACTAATGTCCAGGCATGCAGCCTGGGTGGCCAGGAAAAGGAGGGCAACAAGCGTGCAGCCTCCCCCACCCGCCCTTCCAGTATCCTGCCGTGCCACATGCCTTTTAACATTGGGGGGCTATTTTGCAGGGAAAGTGGGGGCGCAGAAAAGCCCTTCCTAGCAAAGCTTCCATGTCCTCAAAAGAGATGAGCTTGGGTGTCTGCCAAACTCCAAACTTTTACTCCAATGAGCTGAAGGCAGCTAGGTCATTCCCACCCCTCAGCCAGCCTCTTGTTTAGGTGATTTCCCGGGCAACATATTCTTTAATACACCTTGCCCAATCAAAGAGCTGAAATCATAAAAAACCCAAACACCAAATTTTATATCCTTTAATTAAAGGATAAGTTCACCTTTACTAACATATTACTACACAGCCCCTGCCTGCACCACCCCCTCCCCCATGACAGCGCCCCCACAGCCGTAACTTTCATTCACACAGTTCTGTAAATGGATGAACTACAAGTATTGTCCGCCACTGTGGCGAACGCCTTGTAGTTCTCAATGAACTGGTGGTGCTAGTGAGCACTCTCATACACTGTGTGCACAATTATTAGCAAAGTGAGTATTCTGATCAAATCATCATCTTTATGTATATTGTCCAACTCCAAGCTGTATAAACCTGATGTATGCTTATTGGATTTAATACTCCAGTTGTATAAACTTATGAATGCTTATTGGATTTAAGGTATCATATCAGGTGATGTGTATTTGTGTAATGAGCAGGGGCGGACTGACCATTTGGAAACTCGGCACTGCCCGAGGGCCCGGGGTCAATAGGGGGCCCCATGAGATGCCCCTGGTACCTTTTTCATAGGCTTTTTTGAGTTTGGGCAAGGACACAGGGGCCCCATGATCCCCTATTGCCCGGGGGTCCCATGAGTTGTCAGTCCACCCCTGGTAATGAGGGAGGGTGTGGCCTAACAAATCAACACCCTATATTAAGGTTTGCATAATTATTAGGAAGCTTCTTTTCCTCAGAAAAATGGGCCAAAAAACTCACTCTGAAAAGTAAATAATTGTAAAAAGTCTTTCAGAGGGATGCAGTACTCTGGAAATTGCTAAGATATTGGGGCATGATCACAGAACCATCAAAAGTTTTGTTCCAAATAGTCAACAGGATCGCAAGAAACGTGTTGAGAAAAAAAAGACGCAAATTAATTGCCAAAGATTTGAGAAGAATGAAGCTACCAGGAACCCATTATCCTCTAGCGCTATCATATTCCAGAACTGAAACCTACATGGAGTGCCCAGAAGTACGAAGTGTTCAGGGCTCACAGACATGGCCAAGGTAGGGAGGGCTGAAACCTGACCACCACTGAACAAGACACACAGGTTGAAATGCCAAGACTAGGCCAAGAAATATCTGAAGACAGATTTTTCAAAGGTTTTATGGACTGATGAGATGAGAGCGACTCTTAACGGACCAGATGGATGGGCCTGTGGCTGGGTCAGTAATGGGCACAGAGCTCAACTTCAACTCCGAAGCCAGCAAGGTGGGGTACTGGTATTATCAAAGATGAGATAGTTGGACTTTTTTAGGTTGAAGATGGACTCAAAAGCAGCTCCTGAACCTACTGCCAGTTTTTAGAAGGCACTTTCTTCAAGCAGTGGCACAGGAAAAAGTCTGCATCTTTCAAGAAGACCATGCAGGACAATGCATAGATATCATGGATCAAAGTACTCCACTGTGTGGCTAGCCAGCAAAGGTCGTAAAGATGAAAGAATATTGACATGGCTCCCTTCTTCGCTGAACTAAACCCTATTGAGAATTTGTGGGTCCTTCTTAAACAGCAGATTTACAGTGAAGAAAAATGGTACAAATCTCTGAACAATGTCTGGGAGGCTGTGGGTGCTGCTGCACAAAAAGTTGATTGTTGAGAGATCAAGAGACTGACAAACTCCATGAATGGAAGGCTTATGATTGTTATTGAAAAGAAGGATGGCTATACTGGTTACTGTTTTTGTTTTGTTTTTTAATGTCAGAAATGTTTATTTATTATTCTCACTTTAACATATAAAAATAAACAGGTGAGATTGGAAAATTTTTGTTTTTCATTTAGGTGTCCGTGTATGAACCAGCGGTAATAGATCGCTGCTCAGTTCTCCGGCGTTCTCGGAGAACACTGTTCTCCTGTGAATGCAGTTTATGAAGCAGTTCTCCGAACGAAGGGAGAACGGTCTCCAAACGCTGGAGAACAGTCTACAAACTCTGAAAAACGGCTCATTTTACTATAATCTCTCGAGATTATAGTAAAAGATCAGTTTACTAAACAGAGGTAAACTATCTCTGCTTAGTTTTCGGTCCCTCTGATTCTCCAGCTCTGGGCTGGAGAATCTGGAGGGAGAACACAGATCTCCAGAGAAGGGCTGACATGATCTCCTGAGTGTCATAAACTGTGAATGACCAGAGAATAGCTGAGATCCGTTGAATCGCAGCTATTCTCTGTGTCATAAAAGGACACCATAGTTGCATAATTCTGCACACTAATAGTTGCCCAATAACTATGCACACATAAACATTCTCCTAAGAAAGCCAAAACCTCACTTTTACTTTCTTAAATATGCAGGTTTGAGGTTTATTAACATTTTGGACTGACCGAGAGCACTGTAGTTGTTCATTAATGTAATTAATCCTCTAAAATACAACTTGCCTAATTGCGCACGCCATGTAGTTCATTGACACTTCCTACATCTTTCAAACAGAAGGCCTGTTATAGCAGGGCTGAAAGCTGTAAGCTGTGCCTGCAGGAGCCTGACATTGCATCTGCTATCTGCTGATGATACTAGATGATTTTATGTGACATCACAAACAAGTGCCTGGTTTGAATGCAAGAGGTGGATTGGTGGGGACCAGAGCACAGAACAGGTAACACTGCTGAACCCTGTGCTCTGTCCTGCATACTGCTGTCCCCTGTACACTGCCCTACATACTAGTAACCCCTCTACACTGTCTTACATACGGACCCCTGTACTCTGTCCTACAAACAACTGACCTCTGCACTCTACCTGCTTACTAATGACCTCTGCACTTACTAATGACCTCCTGCCCTGCTTACTAATGACCTCTGTAGTCTGCCCTGCTTACTAATGACCTCTGTAGTCTGCCCTGCTTACTAATGACCTCTGTAGTCTGCCCTGCTTACTAATGACCTCTGTAGTCTGCCCTGCTTACTAATGACCTCTGTAGTCTGCCCTGCTTACTAATGACCTCTTTAGTCTGCCCTGCTTACTAATGACCTCTGTAGTCTGCCCTACATACTACTGACCCCTATATAATGCCGACTCCTGTAGCCTGCCCTACATACTTATTCCTGCACACTACTGACCCCAAAACTCTGCCCTACACACCATTGACCCCTGTATACTGCCCTATATACTGCTGATCCCTGCTCTCTGCCCTATATAATACTGACCCCTGTACTCTGCCTTACATAATGGCTCCCGTGTTTTGCCATACACACTACTGATCCCTGTAGACTGCCCTATATACTCCTGACCCTGCCTTCTGCATTATTTAATCCTGACCCTGTACACCATGCTAAGGACTACTGAGCCTGCTGAGATAGTCCTGACCCCTGCACTCTGCATTACTTTCTCCCACTGACAGTCATTTTTCCTTCCTACTACTGACCAATAATGCTAGGCATTTTCCTCACAGTGACGTTTTTTCCCACTGACCAAAAACGCCAGGAATTTTCCTGACCACCAACAGCATGTGTTTTTCTCCTACTGACCAATGATGCTGGGCATTTTATTCTCCCATTGGTCACCCACTCCAGGCCATTTTTTCCTTTCTACCAACCAGCCATTTAAGGGGCACTGTTACATAATTTTAACTGTTGCAATATGTTACATACTCTTGATCAAAGTTTTTCCTTGTTTCAATCACTGCTAGTTACTAAGTAGCCTGCCAATAGTACAAGGACTTTGGCATATGTGTGCGGTTCAACCATGCCACTCCTATCTCCTGAGGCCCATCAGCACGCTAACTTTCCAGATATGCAGTGATCAGGGGCGGACTGACAATTTGGGAACTCGGGCACTGCCCGAGGGCCCGGGGTCAATAGGGGGCCCCACGAGATGCCCCTGGTACC